AGTACAACTAAATGGCGGTTTTATACTTTTTCCGACTTAATTCCACTCTATACTTATCTATTCTCACTGTCTTTATACCCAAACCCCGGTAACCTGCACACACGATCGGTACATATGCATTCTATATATGCGCGAACGCGTCTTATAAAACTGGAAACCTCCAGTTTAAAACCTAAACGTGCGAAGGATATCTTGGATTGCCAAGGATGGGGTTCTATAAGAGGAAAGGGGGAATCACAACATGTCGTGAGGTAACTATACCCGTAAAGCAGGAGACTTCAGAACCATTCCTGACCTCAACCTTAGATACAGTGTTAACCTCAAAAAAAATGTCGGTAGAGTTGAACGTCTATACAGTCTCTGATGTAATACAGGTTCATGAATTTTTGTGACTCACTTACAAGTTTTTATCGGGACAAGGATATTTTGAATCATTATTCTGTACTATATTCTGTACTATATTCTGTACTATATTCTGTACTATATTCTGTACTATATTCTGTACTATATTCTGTACTATATTCTGTACTATATTTTTCATGATTAGACACTTTGTGAGACAAAGCTTTAGAACAGAGTCTAGTGAAAAAAGAAATATTTTTTAATTAATTAACTCTCTGTTTGTGTTATTTTGTGACGTTTTTTTTCGTGGATTTTCCAGATCAAATTTCAATTGAGCTCAAGCTCACTAAATACAAATTAGCTCAACACGTGGAGCCTTGTTTAATGACGTAGCTCATTGTAAACACCTTTTTTGTATAGTCCAAGATGCGGAATGCATTAATTTGTTTAATTTTTCACAATTATTAAAGATTTTTCATTTTTTGTCGTAAAATTTGAGAAAAAAGTCTAAAATTTACAGATTTTAATTTAGAAAAGAAGAGATAAATTTGACAAAACATCAGGCCTCTGAACAGTTCGCATTTAAACAAAAACAAGAAAAAGAACTGCAGGTTTGGAAACTTATTATTATTATNAACATAGGATTAAAAATTGGAATTTTTTGTTTTCCAAATTCAATTTTGCTTGTATTACATATTGCATATTGTATTTTATGGACTATATAAATTTTTTTTATGATGTATATTATTTTGTACGTATTATCGAACTATCTATACTATTTAGAATTATTTAGAATTTATGAAAATTTTAAACGAGTAATGCTACCTCACAACATTATAGATCAAAAAAATGTTCATCGTTACTAAATGCTTTTGAAAAATTCGAAAAAACGAACAAATAATGGAACTCTGATATTTGTGTTTACTAATGAGTATAGTTTATTAATTCCGGCTAAGATTAGGGTGTGTCCGGAATGCCGCGATAGATTTATCACGTGACTCACGGGACTAAGCGATATGAGTGATTACTGATCAGAGGCAGCTCTACTCACGGTAAACTGGGGTCCTATAGTTATTGAGACAATGAGTCTTAACTTTGGATTCCCTTTTCACCCCTTAAATCAACATTTTTTGTTTGCCTTTACTTCTTAAAAGGACTGTAAGCGTAATTTCAAATGACCCATCATCCAAAGGTGGCAATGCCCGATTCACAACGGTACCCTTGAAACCTTTATCTGATCAATATTGTGGAAGATATTGTAGTTTTTCTTGAAATGAAAGTGTTAAATTCCCATTTTTATTTCCTGCAGCAGTATAGAAATGCGAAAATCACTTTTGTAGAGAAATCACAATTGATAATAATCAGTATTTTTAATTTTAACATAGATTTTTATTTGAAGCTTGATAAACAGACATGCTTTTAAGGGAACCGGTATGCATGGGAATTGGCATCTTTGGTTTCCATGGAGAGTGTCACTTGAAATCATCCTTTTATTGTAAACTTTATTTAAAGATTTTTAACGCTTTTTCGCCAGATTTTGAATTAGAGATAATTAAATATGACTGTAAATATGTCTAAACAGACAGAATGTACTTCATTGTACTTTGTACTTAATTTTTCTAAGCTAGCTGTACCTAACCCTGGGAAATATGCCTAAACAGACAGAATGTACTTCATTGTACTTTGTACTTAATTTTACTAGGGCTAGCTGTACCTAATCCAAGGAAATATTTCTAAACAGACAGAATGTACTTCAGTGTACTTTGTAGTTAATTTTACTAGGGCTAGCTGTATCTAACCCTGGGAAATATGCCTAAACAGACAGAATGTACTTCAGTGTACTTTGTACTTAATTTTACTAGGGCTAGCTGTACCTAACCCTGGGAAATATGTCTAAACAGACAGAATGTACTTCATTGTACTTTGTACTTAATTTTACTAGGGCTAGCTGTACCTAATCCAAGGAAATATTTCTAAACAGACAGAATGTACTTCAGTGTACTTTGTAGTTAATTTTACTAGGGCTAGCTGTATCTAACCCTGGGAAATATGCCTAAACAGACAGAATGTACTTCAGTGTACTTTGTACTTAATTTTACTAGGGCTAGCTGTACCTAACCCTGGGAAACAACTTGCTTATTTTTTGTAAACTTTTTAA